TCCCTGTATGGTAAACATTTTCAAAGTTGCATGTTTTTGTCCCTTCAAGTTCAAGGACTTGACGTGTTTTATTAAATTTCCAAAGCATGATACAAATGATTTAGTCACTGATGTGCAAGTCCAATGTAAAGGGAAAAAATGCATAAAGTGGACATACATTAATGTTTTGAATTTTGATTAATATTATGTCATTTAGTCCACATCATTGTACAAATGGATATTTGTAATTTAAATAGCTTTTAAGCATTAAAGTTGAATCATAAATCCACTACAGTGAACTAAATATTTGTTTAAAGGTTATCTAACAGTTATTTTATATCATGAATATAAAATTAAAATTTGCCTGAAAGTATTTGATTTATATTCATGAAAGAGATATTATATTACCCAAGGGAATATAGTGTCTCTGTTGAGATTTTTTTTTTTAAATCGATAGAAAGGATGGCGTTCAGGTCCCAACTCCAAAAAAACTCAAGGGGTCTACCCAGGAGGTAAATTTTGAGTTAGCAAGTGCCATATAATATAATGCACCCAAGGGGTGGACATACATATTACATGGTTCCCTAGTTCCACCCTCCCTTTTATTCAATTCCATTAAATAAAGGAGATTGGCAGTGCTTAAGACTTACCAAATTACAATGCTATTCGAGTCTTACTCTCAAATAAGGAAATGAGATGTGATCTAGTAGTACTAGACCACGAGTATGCCTACATAAAGCCCCCAATCCAGTATAAGTACATGAACGGCCCAGAGAGCCTTGTCCAGCTAAACTGTCCGCAACGGCATTTGCCTCCCGAAAAATGTGAGATATAATGTATGATCCGCTACACATTATCTCATGAATCTCCTTTATTTGAAAGTAATATTTCCATGGAATCAAATTCTAATTTAAAGAACCAAGAAGGTCAGCCAAAACCTTACTGTCTGTCTGAATATTAACTCTTGCCAAGCCAAGCTGATCACATTTTCGCACTCCAAATAAAAGACCATAAACCTCCGACCCAAAACTATCACCAGGACCTAGGAAACCATGCTCCCCATACATGAAATCTCCTTCATGATGTCTAATAACAAAACCATAGCCAGAACCATCCTCAATAGCCGAACCGTCCGAATTTAGTACAAATCCCTCCGCGCGCACAGGTTTCCAACAAACCGAAATGAATGTTCGTTTTTGAATTTTATGCAATCTTAATCCAAAAGACCGTTCAATAAAGCCTCTCTCTTCCATATTCTTCACCTTCAAATCATGAACAAATAATGCATCTTTAGCCGCATAAGAGACTTCACGTATAACTCTTCCTTTGTAAAATGGCACCCCATCATAATACACCTTATTCCTCGCTTTCCAAATTTTCCAAAGAAGAAAAGAAGGGATGATCTTAATCAAGGCTTGTTTAGCAAGAGCAAAATTGCCTCCACTCCACCATTTTAGCAAATTATCAAGCAAAGAGGTAACATTCTCCAGCTTTATGGAAAAAAATTTTGCAAAATGAATCCAAATGCATTTAACTTCAACACAACTAAAAAAGCAATGAGCTACACTCTCCTCATGGTTGCGACATAATAAGCAAATGGATGGATGAACCTGGATGCCAAAAGTACTCAAGATCCCGAAAAAGGGACCAAGAAATTCTTCAGTTTCCAGACAAAAAAAAAAAGAAACCCTTAGAGGAATTAATTTATGCCGAAAATTCCTAGCCAAAGAGTCTTCTTGGTTCCGCCTTCTCAGATGCAAGTAAGCTGATTTTACAGTAAATTTTCCAGAAGTTGAATGCTGCCAAACAAGGAGATCGCGCCCCTCCGTTAGCATAATCTCCATGTGCTGTAATTTCTAAAAAATTCTCCAATCAAGAACTCCCTGCATATTATTCAAGAAAAGATCTTTATTAGTGAAAAATTCTTGAATGGTTAAAGATGGAAAACGTGGCTATTCCTCATTCAAACCCCAAAGAGGGCCTTCATGCGCCCAATTATCAAACCAAAGAAGTCTCTCACCTCCACGAATCAAGACCTTTGCATTTTTAGACGTCTCATGTTCCACCTTCAAAACCCTACTCCAAGTAGTGTTCTTCTTGGCTGAAGAAGAGATGAATTTACTCCACATGCCTTTTTGATGCTTAAATTTCCACCAAAGCTTATAAGAGAAAGCTTGTACGACATCCTGAAACCGACGAAGCCCTAACCCATTTTCCAAAGTCGGAAGGTTCAGCGCTCCCAAGATCGCCAATGCCTTCGTTTCTCCTCACTGGTGCCTTGCCACAAGAATCTTTGACACCATTTTTCCATTTGCTTAAGAATCGAAATAGGAGGACTTATAGCAGAAAAGACATGAATAGGGATTGCTACTAGCACATGTCTTAAAAGTATTAATCGCCCACCCGTAGATAAAAGCTTGTTCTTCCAATTAGCCAACCTCAATTCAAGAGAATCGAGAAGAAACTGAAAAATTGGAGCCTTCTTCCTTCCTTGGTACAGTTTGCAGCCTAAGTATGTAAAAGGAAAAGATCCCTTTTGCATCCCCAAGGCTGTTGCAATGACTTCTACCCGATTCGCACGGCATGACTCCGCAACTAGGAAGAAACTTTTTTGACGATTCATTCTTTGGCCCGACGCCAACTCATAATCATTGAAGAATGTATCTAGCACTTTAAGAGATTTCTTCTGTCCCCTTGTAAAAATTACCAAGTCATCCGCAAAACACAAGTGAGAAACCCTCAAAGAACCGGCCGGAGTTCCATACACTGCCAAATTCCCCTCTTGAGCCAATGAATTCAACCGCCTCGTCATTGCTTCAGCTACCAGGATAAATAAATAAGGTGATAGCGGATCCCCTTGCTTTATGCCACGAGAGGCCTTGAAAAAACCAGAAGGGAAGCCATTAATCATTACTGAGAACCAGCTACCTTGAAGGTTGTTCATGATCAATGCAATGAATCCCTGCGGAAACCCTAGCCTTCGAAGCACATTTTCAAGAAAATTCCATGACACCCAGTCAAACGCCTTCATCATATCAACCTTAATAATCAAATTATTCCCAACAGCTTTATGAGTAACAAATTGACAAAGATCTTGTGCTAGAACCACATTATCGATGATATCTCGCCCCTCAAGAAAAGCGGATTGTTCTTCAGAAATTATCTTGGGTAGAACTTTCTTCATTCTTTCTGTTAAGACTTTGGTAAATACCTTATTCAGGAAGTTGCAAAGACTGATGGGCCGGAAGTCTGAAAAGGTGGTAAAAGATTGCTTCTTAGGCAACAAGGTTATCAATGTACTAGCAACAGCCCTTGGAATTGGTACCCCTCCCATGAATTCTTTACAGGCTTGCAATAAGTCATCAGCTATAAGATCCCAAAAAGACCTATAAAATATACCACCAAATCCATCAACACCGGGAGAACTATCTTCACCAAGGCTGAAAACAACATTTTTAACCTCCTCCATTGTCACCATACCCATAAGCATTGACTTGTCAGAATGATCAAGTTCATCATGAAACAGATTCAGAAAGATTTCTTGCTTCTCCCCTTGCTCCGAGGGGGCTGGTTCCTCTGTTAATAGAAGCTGGAAAAAATTCACTGCTTCGCATTCTATATCCCTTAAATCAGTTAGGGTTCTACCATTTCCACCTTGTATTTTATGAATACCCATTTTCACTCTCCTTTCGACCAAAATCGCATGGAAAAAAGATGAATTTGCATCCCCTTCCTTCAACCATTTCAATCTCATCTTCTATTTCCAAAAGTCTTCATGCTCCTTCAACTTTCGAAGATAGGTGGCATTAGCCAAGTTGAGATTCATTCTATCATTCACATCACCAGAATGATCATAAATATTCTCCATTTCCTTTACCTTTTCCTCAGCTTTCTTCAAATTATCAAAGACATTGCCAAAATGTGCATTGTTCCATTGTTTGAGCTTGAATTTTAGCCGGCGAAGTTTAGCGGAAAAAGCTAGCATACCATATCCATGAACTGGTTGGGACCAACTCTCCTTCACTACATTGTGGAAATCCGACCTTCTTAACCACATTTGCTGAAACAGAAAGCATCTTGGCCTACTTTCAATGTGTATATCAAAATGGAGGAGGAGAGGACAATGATCCGAAGTAGTTCGACTAAGATGCTCTATCGAGGTTTTCAGAAACATGTGAAACCATTCCCGGGAAAACAAGATACGATCTAATCTCTTGCTTGCCCATCCCGTATGCCTTGTGCCGCCCCAAGTAAACTCATCACAAATAGGAGGAACCTCAATCAGATCACAAGCTTCAATACAATGATTAAACTCATCTGTTGCTCCATAATCTAGGACCGATGATCCCGAATATTCCTCCAAAGATCAAATTACATTAAAGTCGCCCCCAACCACCCAAGGTAAAGAAAGGCGCGCCCTTCTGAAATTCTCCAAACTACTCCACAGAGTGCACCTATCTATTTTATTCGACTTGCCATAGATTGAAGACACCAAAAAGCTCTTTTGAAGCGGGATGTATCCAACCTCAAAGTGCAGCACCTGTTCTGACTCTATCAACATATTCACTGTAACAAGTCTACTACAGAACACCCAAATTTTGCTAGTGGGAGAACCGAAAGCTAAATCAAACCCCAGCTCTCTTCTTATTTCTTCCAATTTGAAAAGCGGAAGCATTGGTTCGAGAATGACCAAAAAGGAAACTTTGTAAATCTGAATCATAGATCGCAAGCGTCGTTGAGAAGCCTGACTCTTTATTCCACGAATATTCCAAAAAATAAAACTAATCATTGGAAACTTTGAATTGAGAGGAACCTACTGAAGTCAAATAGAGCGCCTTAACTCGGCACCTTCAACTTGTTTAGCGCGCTCAGACTTCGGTTTTCGTCCACGTATTTTCTTAACTGAACGTTCACCTTTGTCGTTTTCCACAATATGGTCTTCATGTATTTCGCCTTCAGACCACAACTCACGCTCTTCCTTATCCCCGTCACTGTCATGGTGTTCCGTTGCAAAAGAATCATCAGGAAAATGGATCGGACCAAACTTTGGTGCGGGGGATAGGTTCCGCATTTTCTAATGCTAACATAGAACTAGAAATATCCACATGAGATTCAGTTACAATCACCGACTCAATATTTTCCGTTCCAACATTTTGTTTTTCTTGATTAATATCCTCAATAAGAATATTTTCCACATCATCATCGATATCAGCGACTATCTGTTCTTGGAGAACAGAAAATCGATTTTCCGACTGCACCGGCGCCATCGCATTTGACTTTGGGAGGTCCGGCACTGCTTCTTCCCTTACTGGAGTGGACTGAAAATCCACTAGTATTGCTCCTTTTTCGATTGTGGATAATCCAGAAGTAGATTCAATTTGGCGTGGCTCTTCCGCAGCTAGGGTTTCCGCAGCTAGGGTTCCCTCCGCAGGGCGCGCTCTAAGTCGCGCTAGGGTTTCATCCGCAGGGGGTTCATCTTTGCCAGTAACATTTTGAGACTCAAATCCTTTGACTATCAGGGGGTTCATCTGCAAGATTTCTACTTCCAAAGCATCCTTCTTTGAATCCCCCCCTTTGAGTGGCCATTTAGGCTTCGTTGCTTTAATCTTTATCCCTTTCTTCTTCAAGACAAGGGCTACATTAGTATCACCATCCATCTTTGACTACGAGGGCTTCCCAACTCGACAATCCGCCTCCTTGTGCCCGATCTTACTAAATTTTAAACGGTAAGATGGGATATGCTCAAAAGTGAAAATTTGCTCGTAATTACGACCCTTCTTGCCAATCTTCACAGATTTTGGCAACTTCTTGGTTAGATCCACCTCAACACAAAATCGAGCCACAGAGGGATGAGTCATGTTCATTGTTGGTGTATCTACTTTTAATGGTTGACCAAGGGTTGTAGCCATCGAATAGATGACTTCCGAATGCATGAACTCAATAGGAAGATCATAGAGTGCAACCCATATTGGGACAATCGGTGGATCTTCTTCAAATCGGAACCCTGGCTTCCACTTCAACATTCGCATTGAAAATCCTCCAATGTTCCAAAACGTCCGAATCCAACATCTTTGATAGTCCTCCTCTTGCTTAAATTGGATTAATACGTGTCTAGGATTGATCAAGCCTAGAGTATAACCACCATTAAATCCGATTTTTCTAAATTCATTGTGAATCTCCTCCATTTTCGGACGGCCGTAGGAAAATTTCCCAACCAAGCACAGCCGATGAGGAGCAATCAATTGCTCAAACTCGTCATCTTCAAACTCTAATGTTGGAGTCCCATTGATAAACTTGACTTGCTTAATAAGCAAAGTCTTATTAGAAGCTACATCCGCCGGTTTCTGAAAGAAGCTAGCGAAGGAGCGAGGTGGCGAGATGCTCCACCGGTGAATTGCCGGCCATGGCCGCCGTTCCACATGCAAGTGATCGATGCTAGGTTTTGGGTAGAGAGAAAAAGGGTATTTTTTTATTTATTTATCACAAAATTAAATAAAAAATACATTAAGTTGTGTCTCTGTTGAGATTTTATATGGATGTGAATTATTGCTTTCTCACGTATTGAGTGGATCTTTACCATATCGATATTTTAACCCAAAGGTAAAATACAACGATGCACTTGATGACTCTTTTTTTTTAATCAATAGTCACTTGATAACTCATTTATGTAATAAAAATGTAGTCGATATAAATAATTTAGATGACCTTTTGCTGGCTCCAATCTTCTCTACGTACTCTTATGTTCTTTCCTCCTCCTCCCTGACAAATTACTTAGGCACTAGTCTTTGCGCTTCCAATATATATGTTCATTACCACGCCCCATTTCACAACAAAATCCCTTGATCTGATCTTCGTAAATCTGACCCGTCATTAAACTTTTAAAGATGCTCAACCTGTTCATCTTTCAGGACAACTCTTTGAAACTCTTTAATGCAAGCAGACCCATTACCCATACCTAAAAGTCACCTGACAAATGGTTTCACATCAAAAACCTCGAACTCATCCATACTTTCACGGGTCTCAATAAACACAACATGATATTTTACTGCCGCAAGTGCAAGAAGACAACTCCCTTTCTTGGTATGATTATTCATTTTAGTAAGAATCACACTTCCCTCGAACCCTGGAAGTATATTGATGTCACTACCCAGATTGCTATCCTTAACCCAGAAAATGAGATCAAGTTCCATTCTACGATGATGTTGTTGTAAGTCCACAGTATAGGTGTCAACAAGAATAAGGTCATGATCTTCATTCTTAAATCTTTTCACAGCTTTAGCTGCATTTTTAATGGCATCTTGCATCTTGCACATTTCTAAACAATATAAAGGATTTTACCTTTTGTTGCCTCCTCTCGAAGTTGAGCAAGAGTATCTGCACTATATTTACTAACACAAACCAAAGCAGGTTCCCAACCCTTTTTCTTGTTATAATAGGCATACTTTAGGCATGCCATTGTTTTCCTTGAATCTTCCTTTCCTCCAAAGAGGACAATACTAGATTTGCCTTTCTTGGGGATGAATGAAGGTTGTTTTCTGGGATCCAACATCATCCACAACTCATCAAATAAAGCTTGATGGATGATGCTTAAGCGTATCATTTTTACTGGAGAGAACATCCACCACGATAAATCTCTTAATGTTGTCGTTCATATTAAAAAGAACGGAGAAATCAACACCAACTCCCATGAAAGCACGAACAATTGCATTGTAAAAAGCTTTAAGAACTTTTTCATTGACATCGTTTGCGCTATTCAACTCCTGAATAGCATCACGTAAGCTTGACCCCAACTTTTCCAGCACCATCTCTTTTAAGATTTTAGAATTCACAAGAGCATAGGAGATAATAAACCAAGTTGGGGTTAAGGCAGTTGATGAATCTTTCTTTTATGTGCTTATAATAAGTGGTTGACTATTTGATAGTATTTTCTTTAATAATTCCTTAAAATTGTATTGTTATGTCATCTACTTTGTATGCCAAAGCAATTGGTAAGTGATATTCATTATTTTAATCACATGAAATTAAGTGAGTAAAATAATGTGTATGTAAAAGGAATGTTAAAGGCCTAAAGCACATAGTCGCCGTAAAAATGACTGACAAATAAATGATTGATGAACATTTTCGTTATAAAATTCCCTTATTAAAGTATAATTCAGTCACATAAATGATAAAAAGGGAAAAAGAAAATCTATTTGTCAATAGAAGGGATTAGTTAACTGCTAAAATTTGTGTTAGATGCCAGTTCAGATATGTGTTGTGTTATATGTTTGAGAGTAGCCAAAGTACCTCGAATGTGTGATGCAGAAATATTTTTTAGATCACATTATTGTTTATACATGATAAGATTAAAGGTATCAATTCAACATATGCTAAGTTGAATAGCAAGATGAAAATTGACATCATATACTGAAGTTTAGCCAAAGCATCTTTAGTATATTAATGTTCAATAACGTTTAATTGTTTATCACATTATTGAATGGTAATCACGAAGAAAATAATATTATGCAAACAATAAAGGATAAAGGCATCTAATGTGATTGCGCTCATTAAACTAATTACTGCCCCAAAGGGAGGTAATTATTTTAGTGAATTCTATCAAACGAAATGGAAATGGATAAACTTTAAGTTGGGAAATTTTCCTTTTGCCCAAAGGTAAGGATTATTTCTTTGATTTAGTGTTTTCTTGATTATTCATAGCATCACTTATGAGATTACTACTAACGGATTTTAGTAGTATAATTACTATAATGCATCAATGCATATTTGTGGAAATTTACTAGATTTTTATTCAATTCTCCAGAATGCATTTGATGATCTCACTTATTTAAATGATGTGAAGTGTGTTCGCGAAATATGATCATATGGGGTTTCTTATTAAACTTTTCTCATGCGTAAATTTGAGATTCTCTCATTGTATTTCTTTTGACCATTTATAGTTCTGTAAGAGTAGACATTATGTTTATTGTTTATTATGATTATACCATGTCTATTTTATGAAGAGTAATGAGGTAAAAATTTAGAGAGAATGAAAGATGAGACGCTTTTGCCGAAAAATCTTTATAGTTTATTGGCAGGAAATGTAGTAAATATCTAGCATGAGAATATCAGAGAGAACATACATTAAATTGATAGTTCATGATGAATTGATTAATGTTTATAATTCAAATTGACTATTGCCAATGTATATAGTTTTTCTCCGATTTATAAATTGTAGAATGAATGAAACATTTATGTGTCATTCTTTTTCATTAACGAGAAGTAAATGCTCAATTTTTAATCTTGCGTTTGAACATATTTCTGGACTTATATGCATACAATGATTTGGCGTTACATAATGGAGCTATTAGTCGCAAAATAATCATATTGTTTCAACTTTGCAAGCGGCTTATAGTGTTCAATGGAATTGTAGTAAGATGAAACAAATTAGGGACAAATGATTGACACTTTAAGTATACATGATATGTGTTTTCACACCATTTATTATAATTATTATTTACGAATAATTTTTTACTTTGCTTTGAATGATTATGATACTTTTATATCATTTTTGACAATTATTCAAAGCCACACTCATTTTATTCTTGTTTGAGAAATTTCTAATGTCTAAAAATTTTTTAAAAGGGGGGAGAAGTAGTGTATTAGAATATTTTTTATAAAGAGTAATGTGATTATTTGCATATCTTTCTTCCTTGAGCGACATTGATGATGGAAAACAATTATGTGGCTTGAAAGTTTTACAGTCCTATAATGTCAGTCTCAGTGGGAGTTTCGAAACATACGTAACGGTTTCGTTCAATGATCGAGTGTTCTTTGGGTGACATATATATTTTCCCGATGTGTGAGTGCCAACTTAAGTTTGTCATCAAGGGAATTATTATGATTTAAACAATTTTCAGTCGAAGTATGTAATTTCACTTACTATTTCTTCATTATTTGTGTAGAAGAATACTATTAAATTATAGACATTAATGGTATTGGGAGAAATCTTTTCTTTCAGTTTTATGTGTAAAGTCTTCTAGTAAAGGTGATACAACTCTTTTACCTAGGAATCCTTGAATGAAACATTACGTATTATTATGTGTCATTGAACATATAACTTTTCTTTCATCAAAGGATACTATATATAAGTTTAAAGATTACGAGTTGGTTAAATTTTTAATAATGTTACATGTACACCTTATAAATTCAAAACATTATGTCATTCTTTTGATAATTACTTATACTTATGGATGCTATGATTTATGTGACTACACTATGTTTGTTTTGGACTTATGATGGTTGAGTTTGTCACAATCCACTAATACTTGTTTTGAATATTCTTCATTAAGATGCAGAAGAATAGTGGGAGACAAATGTTGACAAATCAATATGAGGAAAGAATACGGATGACCACATAGCCATAAATGCAAACGCTCTAGAGTTACGATGGTCTATTGCTAGCTTAATTGTTTTGATCATCAACTCATCTTTGAGCCAGTGACTATGAAGCTTGTCATCGTACATGACTATCCTCTTAGTGAATTTTATTAACACACTTGTCCAATCAAAAATTTTTATGATTCCACTGCATGTACTTTCGCTCAATAAGTGCTCAAATGAAGTTTTAGCACATTAAGTTGATGTGTTGCGTTCGAAACTTAATTGTTTGTAATGTCCATAGAGCATATGATGATTGACATTATGTCTAAGACCCACTCAGGAATGACGCCAAATGAAACTTATGAAATGTGTAACTTTCATAGGGTCTTGTCAATATTGAGTAGTGTACGCTTATTGTATTAAACATATAATTGATTAAATATTATATGTGCACATTTTTGCTTTGAAATGATATTGGGCGATATAATATTTTTGACCATTATATGAACTGTTGTTCATTTCCTCCTTATAAAGTCCATCCACATTAGTTGCAAATATTGTGATGCATGGGAGGAATTGTGTTGCTAGAACATATGACCACCATGTTCCCTGTAAGTGATAATGTAGGATAGATAAGATTACTTACTTTAGTAGCCATGAATAAAAGGATCTACCTTTCTATGGTCATTTGTCCAAGTGGGAGAATGTTAGATATTTAAGGTTTTTTTTTTTTTAATGTGGACTTCATGACCACAGTAATAGCTTAAATATTATTTCCTTCATTAACATAGAAAATTATTTATTAGACATTTAGCTAGTAGATTAACCACTATTAATGTTCGTAGATATAGTGACTGATGGAGGAGGTTAAAAGAGAGGACATATCGTAAGAGTAGGTTCCATGGTGGGAAGGAAACTCTCCTCTATATAAACTACTACTACCCTCCGATCCCTCTCTCCACTCATATACAATCAATTATGGTTCACCCATCACATACCTAATTATTTAAAGGAAATGAGTCAGGAGAGAAAAGATCAAAGGGGTTTTATCAATCATCGGTTTAGGAGTAATACGGGATAACAAGGTATGCATTTATTGTATTTATTGTTATTATTATTATTGTCACTTGCGATATGTTTGTATTCATGTTAGGAGATCTTACGAGTTGTGGCTTGCCTAACTCATTGGAACCCCTTGGGGGTGATAACTCCTCCATACAACGACACATTCTTCGTCCGATTACGCTTCCTCAACAGCAATAGCTTCCCTTTCCGTTTCCTTTGCAGTCTTGCTATGGCTCGCATACGCTGTTAACATGCGCCGAGAGCTCATGAGTTAGACAGAAAGTAATTACTACCTATTTTCTTAAGTAAAATAATTTTCCTAGTATAAAATTAATGATAAGCATTAATTATCGAGCAGATTTTGTGAAATAATTTTTCGAGTATAAAATGTATGATAAGCATTAATAATCGAGCAGATTCTTAAAAGTTCTTCAAAGTTATTTGACTCTGCATTGCTTAGGTGAAGCATTGATTATTTGACTCTGAATTTGGACCTTAATTGTAAAAATTTCAAAGTTATTTCTTCAAAAAATAAGATCATATTATCATTAGAGAATCAGAATATTTTATTCATATATGTGCATTCCTTGGGTATACCCCTTGGGTGCATTGTGCCATTTAGCACTTGCTGGCTCAAAACATATCTCTTGGGTATACCCTTGAGTATTTTATTCTCAGTGGGGACCAAAATGTCATCTACACCTTTTGATAAAAAAATCTGAAAATTTTATTCAATACCGTTGCGTTAGTGTGATTCGGACACATTTTGTTAAAAAAAAACAAATGTTTCTTTGTACATGGTTTTCAGTATTGCCTTGTTGGTGGTGACGAAATTTTTGTATTTAATTATACAGATCGAATTCTGGGTGAAATCATGTTTAATTCATGTTTGCCATGCGTGAAATGTGCATGGGTGAAATCAAAAGGAAACTTCCATTAAATGCTCTTCTCTGACAAAGGACTCTAGTAATGATACTCAACAATGAGTTTGCCTCTCATTGAGATCCCACAGTCTCAGTTTCATTCAAGCATTTGGAGGCAGAAAATTCCTTATTCCTTTTAAAAATCTCAAATTAGACGGTTAGATGTGGAGCGATGAAATGAATTTCACGGTTGATCTTTTGGCGTTTTAATAAAATCTTATGTTTTAGAGTTTTAACTTAAATCTACCTGTAAATTTCACAACAAGGATTT